CAATGGAATATTACTTGGCCATAAAATAAAGAATGAAATCTTACCATTTATGACAGTATGGATGACCCAAATGGTATTATGTTAAGTGAAATTAGTCAGCCAAAGAAAGACAAATACCATATGATTTCACTTAGATATGGAATTTAAACAAACAAAACAGACACATAGATATAGAGAATGAGCTGATGTTTACCAGAAGCTGAGGGAGGGTCAGAGGGTGAAATGGGTTAAGAAAGTAAGAATTTCAGTTGTTAGTTACAAAATAGTCACAGGGATGTAATATAGTCAACAATATTGTAATAGCCATAATATTGTAATAATTATGTCAGGTGAATACTAGGCTAATGGGACAGGGGATCATTTGTAAATTATATATAAATGTCTAACTACTATGCTGTACACCTGAAACTAATATAAAATAATATTGAAGAGATTAAAAATGGTGGCAGAGTAGGTGGATGCTGCACAGATATGCTCCCAGGAACAGGCTGGAATTACAACTGAAATACAGAAAGGCTCCCTGAAAAATCAACAAAAACTCACAAGAGAGAACCCTGATACCCGAGGACTGAAAGTGAAGACCGCATAGAGACTGATCCTCTTTTTCTTGAATAATTGGTGTTTATATAATAATGTAACATTATTATATTTAAAATCATTTTTCTTGAAATGAAATAAAAAGATATCTTTTTTTAAAAAAGAGAGAGAGAGGCCCAACCCTAATCCCAAGAACCTGTGAATGTCCATCGCACATGAAAAAGGCGCTTGGCAGATGTGATTAAAAGGTCAAGAACCCTGAGATGGAGAGATTATCCTGTGTTTTGGGGGTAGGTCCAACCTAATGGAATGAATCCTTGAAAGAGAACTTTACCCAGCTGAAGTCACTGTGAGACCCAAATGTGACAACAGGAGGGTTGGAGAGATTCCATATTGTTGGCTTGGATGATGGGGGAAAGGACCATGGCCAAGGGTCATGGGAGGCCCCTAGAAGCCAGAAGAGCAGGAGATGCATCCCTTTCTATCCCTACCCCAGAGCCTCCAGCCTCTGGAAGGAACATGGCCCTGCCAACTCCTTGATTTTAGCCCCAGGAGACTTTTTTTAAAGTTTCTAACCTATAGAACTACACATTAATAAGTATGCATTGTTTTAAGCCACTACGTTATAGCAATATAAAACCAATACTGATATAAAAAATAAAATAATAAAATAAAATTGAATGTCCACTGTAACTGAAAAAATAAAAATAAAACATGGCTAAAGAAAAGAAAAAGTCCTAAGGGACAATTATGAACTATTTATAACTGAATAGCAATAAAAGCAATAAACTTCCAAACATTATGAGTTGTAGCCAACATCATAATTCAAGGCGTGTTAACGACCTTAAATACATATATGAAGAAAAAAATAGGTACACCTCTTTCTGATTTCTTGACTTCTATTGGGTTGATAAAATATTCTTCATTTGTCATTTCCCCTTTATTGGTTTGCTATTTCTCTTTCTTTTAATAGTTATTCTTAAATTCTTAACATTTGTGCATCATTTAACAAAGTCAAAAATACTCAATGTCTTTACTCTTCTCGCAGCAGCACAGCAACTCAGAATAATCGCTGAGCTCTCCCATTTTCCACATGGTGTTTGCCTAGGATTACAGTTCCACCTTGTATTTAATCTCCTCCTTCCTTGAACTCTCTTCCTCCAGTGTCCACATGCTTCCCACTTGCATCCTCTTCAAGTATTTACTTAAAAGTCACCTTCTCAAAGAATGATCACCCTGTTTGAAATCACAGCCCTATCCCTCACCTCCACGCACCCGCTGTGCTCCCAAACACCTTAGGCTGCATTTATCTTTTGATAGATGTTTTCACCTTTCAAAAATATCATACTGTAGAAGTTATTTATTATGTTTATCGTTTATTATGTTTATCATTTATTATTTGTCTCCACTGGAATTCCAGAAAGGCATATTACTTTGTTTTGTTCTGTATGATTGTAATTCCAAGCACCAAGAAGAATACCTGGTACATAGTAGACACTCCAAATATTTAAGTATATTAAGACTATACTGTATACTGTTACTGATGTATTGAGACTAGACAACAGGAAGATCCACTAGGAAGCCATTGCATTTATCCATAAAATCGAGGAGATGCCATTTTAAATGATGAGCACTGATCGAGGTCTGAAACTATAGACATTTATATTTTTTAACAAAATTTGCTAAAGAACCAAAGCCTCCAAAGTTTGAGGCCTGAGTAATAGATTTAAAAAAACACATCAAAAAAACAAACAAACAAAAAAACAAATGAGAGCGAGAACTGCCATTAACTGAGATAGGGAAGATTCTGGAAAAGTAAGGATTGGGATGTAGGGTATCAGAAGCTTAGTTTAGACTGTATATGTAATGTTAAAGTAACACACATTGGCATTCTCCATTAGCAGATAATTGAACAGAAATATGTATTTCTCAGTAGAATTTCCATTGGGATCCTTGTATTTGACCCCATTTTATAATATAATTTTCTGCATTTTATTAACAAACTAGAGGCCCGGTTCACAAATTCATGCATGGGTGGGGTCTGGCTGGCCTGCCCTATGGAGTGAAGGGGACGGGAAGGTTGGCCGGTCAGCCCCATTCCCGGGTCAATCGGGGGCAGGGCTGGCCAGGGGAAGGGGCCATGGGCGGTTGGGGAGACCAATTGGGGCCCCAATTGGGCCAGTTGGCTGCTGCAGTGTTTGTCATAGCAACCGGTCATACTGGTCATTCTGTTGTTCCAATGGCTTGGCTTTTATATGTATAGATAATGACTAGTTGCATCAAAATTTTGTGTTTTTTTTAATGGCAAGCTTAATTGACTAGAATAACAGTATAAATATGTGCTCACTTAAGTTAATTAGTATTATAAACAACCTCAAATCCAATCATCAAATTAAGATATTTATTTGAGCCCTGGCCAGTATGGCTCCATTGTTTGAGCATTGTCCCACGCACCACACCAAGAGCCTCCTTCCCCAGTAATAGGATCAATTCCCAGTATGGGGTATGCAGGATGTTTTTTTCTCTCTCTCTCCCTCTCCCTTCTTCTCTATCTAAAAAAATCAATAAAAACATTTAAAATATATATTTACTTGAAACACAGTAATAATAAAAACTGTCATTGCCTGGCCTGTATGGCTCTGTGGTTGAGCATTGTCCTATGAACTGGAAGGTAAAGGTTTGATTCCAGGTCAGAACATATGCCTGGATTGTGGCAGCTTGATCTCCATTGTGGGGCTTTCAGGAGGCAGCCAATCAATGATTCTCTCTCATCATTGATGTTTCTCTCTCTCTCCCCCTCTCCCTTCCTCTCTGAAATCAATTATATATATATTTAAATGTCATTTAATATCACATAAAAAGTGCTGATTTAATTGAATAATAATATAACTGATTGTGGAAACCCTGATCAGAGTGTGCCAGATGTTCAAGGCCAAGTTGCCATATGCAGGTGCAAGGACACAGCAGTTTCACTGTATGCACTGTGCAGGCGTACTTTTCTATAACCCAAATACTGAGGTCACTATTTTGGCAAGAAGCCTCTTTTGTCTAAGTTAGTATAAAGATGTGTTACTGACCAGCCAGTGAGAGGCTGCCTAGTCAGGCTACTTTGTGTGATAGCTCCTATGTTTACCGAGTCTGCTTTTACATAAAGGGGCTGCTGTGTGTACAATGGCTGCCTTTGTGAGGCTACTTGGAAGAATTGCTTTGTCTAATGGCTCCTTAGAAGCAATGGCTACTTGGGCTGCAATAAAGACTCTCCCATATGCCCACGGCTCCTCATGTCTTCTTCATCTAATACCTGGCGTCCAGGGACTTGGACTCTACAGTTAGCATAGTCAAGCAGGATAAAGGAGTGAGAATTCCCACAATTGCTAAACTGAGCAGGGTCCAGGAGAAACTTACTCCAACACTGATATAATGGGTCTTAAACATTAAGCCAAACGAAATGGATTTATATTGCAATGTAAGTAAAATAACCAATCAAATGTACTCTGCCCTAGTCTTCAGCATACCAACTAAATGAGTCCTTATCTGAAATTCCCTAGTCACCGAAGAGGCAGGTGCGTTCCAAAGGTAAGTGTCAAGAAGAGATTTTGTCCAGAGAATGTACTTGGCTACATTTTCCATGTGTCTGTTTTTATCTTTCTAGGCAGTCATTCTCTTTAGATACTGAAACAAGCAAGTCATTGAATTAAGTTTTTGACAAAATAATAGAGAATCACACTACGTCATCCAGTATATGCTAGCTTTATTCCCAATCTCCGAGGAAACCAGAGATTGATGTTGCAATTTATTTAAAACAATAAAAAAGCAATACACAGAAGCTGAGTCTATGAAACTAACACATAGGGTTTTGCACAGGCCTGGTCCATTGTCAGCATCTAATTCATGTCATTTTTTTTCTATTTTTTTAAAATATTTTTTATTGATTTCAGAGAAGGTGAGAGAGACAGAAACATCAATGATGAGAGAGAATCACTGATTGGCTGGCTCCTGCACATCCCCCTCTGGGGATAGACCTTGCAACCTGGGCATGCTCTCTTGATGGGAATCAAACCCAGGACTAAATGCACAGGCCTAAGCTCTATCCACTGAGCCAAAGCACCTAGGGCTCATCTCCTTCTTTTGCATGACACGGTGCTGCCTGAACGTTGCAATCTGGATTACAATCCAGACGCCCTTCGCGGTGATTCCAGATTAGGTCCACAGACAGTGCCTTCAGGATGGTTGAATGCCTGCACCAGGGCGCAACTCAAGGCTTTCCCCTGTAGCCCAGGGCTTTCTGGCCAGCTCCTCCTGCTGCCTGTTCCCTGTCCATTCTGGCCCCGCCCCTGGGGCCCAGCTTGCTGTGCAACTGTCTATGAGCTCAAGCCAGCAGAGAACGTTGGGCCAAGGTGCAGAGCGCAGGCTGGCCTAGCCGTTACCAGTCTACACAGCCAGGACATCCTCTGCGTATTGCCATGGTTTACGGGAACAAATTAAATTTCTTATGGACTTTAGGTTTCTATCTGGTAGCCAGTCAAACTCCCACCGTACCTTCCATCGAAGACAAGAAGTTCATAGAGGACTGTGTCAGAGCTCACAATGAAATGCGTCGCACAGTCCAGCCCTCCGCGGCCAACATGAAATACATGGTGAGAAAAAAATGAGCTGGCATTATACTAAGGGATCTTGGCAATTCATTTTACAGACGCATTTGTATGCATTCAGTTAGGACTTTCGGCATGCAGTTTAAAATCATGCTTTGGCTGTGCTGTCTCCTGCAGGGTGGTTTGTGATAGAAGGGAAAGAGAAAGGAAATCTTTAAGCTGTTACTTGCTAGAGTTACATATGTGTGTTTATTCACATACAGCTGATAGCTGTGAAGACATGAATCAGTTCTTGTAGTTTATTTTTTATTACAACTGTAGTTTATTTTTATTACAACCTCCTTTTGTCCACCCCTGTATATACACACATTCTATATAAATGCATATTTATGCTATATTTTCAAAAAAATGAAAGGAAAAATGTAGATTAATTTAAATTTTCATAGCTACCTGCAGAAGAGGAGGAAGAAAGGAATAAGGTAGAAGAACCATGAGCCTTCTTTGATTTTACTTTGTTTTATATATAGTTGAACTTTGCAAACGTGATCATTTTTGTTATTTTAACACTTTACATGAAAGATCTGGTGCTTTTCTTCCACTTTTTTCAGATCAATATTTCCACCTTGTATCATTTTTCCTTCTGCCTAAAGGACATTAATATTTCTCATACTATGGGTCTGTTGGCAATTAATCCTATCAACTTTTTGTGTCTGTGAGTTTATTTCTACTTAAGTTATAACCAATATTATCATTAGACACAGAATTCTAGGTTGCCCTGCTAACTTCTATCTTCCTGCACATTGTTTGTGATGAAAAATCTACTGGATCATTTCCTTTGTTCCCATGTACATCAGGTGTATTTTTTCCTCTGGCTGCTTTAAGGAAATCTCCTTATCCTTGGTTTTCAGCAATTTGATTATGATGTGCATTGATGTAGTTTCATTCATATTTCCTGGGGCTCATTGAGCTTCTTGGGTCTGCAGGTTTAAACAAATTTTAAAAATTTTAGCCATTGTATAGTTAAATATTAAAGACTCCACTTATAAACATATTAACTATACAATTTGAAGTTATCTCACAGCCCATTGATAACTCTATTCATGCAAAAAAAAGTTTATCACTCATTCTTTCTCTACTAATTTTAACATATGTGTTAATTCTGGTTCAATTTTCATACATTGATTTTTCTCCTCATCAATATATTTTAATTTATTGATTTGAGAAAGAGAGAGAGAGAGAGAGAGAGAGAGAGAGAGAGAGAGAGAGAGAAACATAGATTTGTAGTTCCACTTATTCATGCATTCATTGGTTGATTCCCATATGTGCCCTGACCAGAGAGCCCTCAACCTTGGCGCACCTTGATGATACTTTAACCAAGAGCTACCCAGCCAGGGCCTTTCTCCTCATTTTTTATTGTATTATCATGAGTCCTTGTATGCAGATAAGTTTGTATCAGATATCTGAATCTGTCCACTTTTGTTTGTTGGGTGATGGTAATTTTTGTATTTATGTAAATATTCTTGACATTTTTTTCTGGCATGGACTTATGTTACTTGGCATTTGATCCTTTTGAGTCTTGTGTTTAAGATTTGTAAGGTAGAACAAAAGAAGTGACTGAGGCTAGGGATAATTATCTCCCTCTATTAAGGAGAGATCCTCCTGAGTACTCGACACAATTCCCAAAATTATGAGGTTTTCCAATCTCGCTAGCAGGAAAAGCAATAGTCCCAGTGCTGTGTAAGCATTAGGTTATATGCTCTCCTATCATTTTGAGTGATTCATTCCCTGGTGTTGCATATGTTCTTCACATGTGTGTGCTAATCAACCCTCTGCTAAATAGTCCTCTTTAGAGCCCTGCCTCTGTGCATGTCTGTGCTTTCTGGTGTTCTTGTATGGCCTGAACATTCTCTCAAAGCAGCAGGTAAGGCCACTATAGGACTCACCTTATTGGTTTCCCTCCTTTCAGGGATCACTGGTCCTTGTTGCCTGGTTTCATGTGTCTTGCTTTTTCACATATGTATGTTATTTTTATTGTTTCAAGTCAGAAAGTTACTCCATTTTGGCCAAAAGTAGAAGTGATGACTGTTGGCTAAGACTTCAACAGGAGTTTCTCCTGTCATCCACTACTGAATCATCCAGAAAAACCAGGCATCTCATTTCTCATGTCAATTTTCATAAATGTCAGAAAAGACAGAGCATGATGTGTTAACAGATCAGCCCTGAAATCATGCAAACTTTTTTAAATTTTGTATTGATATATAACATCGTATTAGTTTAAAATATAAAAGATAATTATTTGATAGATGTATATGTTGCAAAATGATTACCACAATAAGTTTTATTAAGGTCCATTACCTCACAGTTACATGTTTTCTTGTAATGAGAACTTTTAAAATCTAATCTTTGAGCAACTTTCAGATATACAATACAGATTGTTAATTATACCTGCAATGCTGTACCCTACAGCCATAAACTTGTTTATCTTGTAACTGGAAGTTTATACATTTTGATCACCTTCAACCTTTCACCTACCCCCAACCTGATATTCTGACAAACACTAATCTGTTCTCTGTATCATGAGTTTGGGTTTTTAATATTCCACATAGAGGTGAGATCATTCAGAGTTTGTCTTTCACTGTCTGAATTATCCTATATAATAGAAGGCTAATATGCAAATTGACCAAACGTGAACTGACCTGTTGCTATGATGCACACTGACCACCAGGGGGCAGACCCTCAAAGCTGGAGCTGCCCCCTGGTGGTCAGTGCGCTCCCACAGAGGGGAGTGCCGCTCAGCCAGAAGCCTCAGCTGCGGTGGCGTGGGGGGAGCCTCTACCGCCTCTCTGGTAGTTGGACATCCCCCGAGGGCTCCCAGACTGTGAGAGGGCACAAGCCAGGCTGAAGGACCCCCACCCCACCCCCATCCCCGAGTGCACAAATTTTATGAACTGGGCCTCTAGTTTTAAATAACATAGGTTTAGCGTCTCAGTGACACCGCTCTCCATATCACCTGTTCTCCTTGCAGTGCCTTTGGGCAGTTTACATCTTGGTTCCATCATGTCAACACATGTTCCTCAGAGTCACCATTGAGAAAGCTGAAGGGTTGCACAGAAGTTTTATGATCAGACCTAGAGGTGATATATTCTATTCCCACCCATATCGTTCTGGCCAGAACTAGTCTGGTTATCCTAGCATGCTTACCTTAAATATCTCTACCATCGATTCCTTTTGTGGTAATGGAATATTTTTCATTCCTTTTCTTTAATACATAGAACAAATTCAAAACCTCCCTCAAAGGAATAAAAAACCCAATATCCTCCCTCAAAGAATAAAACCCAATATCCTGTCCAGTTACTGAATCAGAGTCTAATATCGCTGAGTGGTACACAGCAACCTCTCCAACAGAATAAGATGTGGATGGATACCATTGGCCATGTGATTGTCTGTGTCCTCCACATAAACAACTTTCAATGCCAGCACAAGGACAAGACAACCACAACAAAGATCTCTATTCAGAAAGTAGAAGAATGGGAACCACATGGCAATCATTGGTTCAGAGCAATTTTGAATTTTGGGGGAAATGGTTATACTGTCAACCTGTTCCATTTGCTGAGGCACTTTTTAATCAGTCAAGAGGATTGGGTACTTTTTATATAAATACACTTGATCAAATTAAGAAAATTCTATTTCTAGCGTGCCAGGAAGTTCTTAATTATAAATGGGTCCTCATCCTTTACTTATGAAATGCTTGCGTGATTCTCTAAATTACTGGACTGTGAACTCTGGCTTATTTAAGTCACATTCAAATATTTTTGACTGTCTCTACTGTACCAGTCCAATAAATACAAAATAAACCTCCACAGAATGGATCATAGAGTGTTTCTGAAGCACAACTTAAAAGAACTGACTAATGGTGAACATAATAAATGCCAAAGAAAAACTATATTTTATTAAAATTAAAAATTTAAACAAAATGTCATCTATTAAAATCATTAGATAACATCAATGCAAACGAATATGCAAAATTCAATTTAAATTATTTTTGTCTTTCAGTCTTGGGATGAAGGTTTAGCCAAGACTGCAAAAGCATGGGCAAACAAGTGCAAATACCAACGCAAGACCTGCTCAGAAAAACCATATCAGTGTCATCCAACTTTTAAATATGTGGGAGAAAATATTTGGTTAGGTGGATCATACCAATTTAAACCGGAATTTGCTATTGGTCTTTGGTGTAATGAAAAGATGATTTATAATTATAGCACTCTACATTGTTCCAAAGCTTGTGGCCATTATACACAGGTAAATATTTGACATTTGATTTAATAATTCTTATTTATGCACATTGCAATCACAAGACATTTTTTAGCATTTTCTTTTTAAAATATTTTGTATTTATTTTTAGAGAGGGAGGAAGGGAGAAGGAGAGGGAGAGATGGGGAGAGGGAGAGATGGAGAGAGGGAGGGAGAGAGAGAGAGGAAGGGGGAGAGGGAGAGAGGAGGATAGGGGGAGAGGGGTAAGGAGGGAGGGAGGGAGAGAAGGAGGAAAGAGGAGGAGGCGGAGGAGGAGGAGGAAGAGGGAAACATCAATATGAGAGTGGAACATTGATTGGCTGCCTCCTGCATGCCCCCTACTGGGTATAGAGCCCACAAACAGGGCACGTGCCCCAACTGGAATCCAACCAGCAAACTGTTGGTGGCATGGGATGACAATCAACTGAGCCACACCGACCAGGACTAGCATTTTCTTTCCAGTTACATTTGGGTGTTCTGAAAACTCACATTCATTTGGAAGATAGTTTTACTGGATATAGAATTCTCTGGAGCTTTTGTTTTCTGAACTTTAAAGATTACTCCATTGTCATCTCAATGCATTAATTCCAATAAGAAATCTCAATCTTTTATTTATTCCAGTGTTATTTAATGTGCCTTTTTTTCTCTGTTTCAGTTAAAAAAAATTTTCTTTACAACAAATCTGGAGCCATTTCATAATTAACTAAAATTTGCATCACCTTTCTGTGCTGTGGTTTACTGAGTTTCTTAGAACTATAGGTCTGTAATTTAAATAAAAATTTGATAAATGCTGGATATTGCCTCTTGAAATATTTCTGTTACTGACTTCTATCTGCCCTGATTCTACTCACCAATGTTGATGGCCACTTGAATTTCCCCATGATTATTGTTGTTCTCTTTTCTTTCTAAGTTTTTTCCTCTCTGTGATTAATTTCAAATAGTCTTATTGCTTTATCTTTAAGTTCACTAATCTTTTCTTCTCTAATGTTTAATCTACTATTAACAACATTTAGTTTATTTTTCATCTTATATACTAAAGTTTATATCTCTAAAAGCTTGATTTTTGTCTTTTTTACATAATCAGTAACTATATCAAGAATATTTGGCCCTAGCCAGTTTGGCTCAGTGGATAGAGCATCAGCCTGCTGACTGAAGGGTCGTGGGTTTGATTCCGGCCAAGGGCACATGCCTGGGTTGCAGGCTCGATCCCCACTAGGGGACATGCAGGAGGCAGCTGATCAATGATTCTCTCTCATCATTAATGTTTCTATCTCTCTCTCCCTCTCCTGTTCTCTCTGAAATCAATAAAGAAACATATTTTTTTAAAAAAAGGATATTTGACCTTTCTTCTACCTTTTCAACCATATGAGATAGTTACAATAATTATTCTAATGTTTTCTCTAGGTAAGTTCTGGGGTAGTTTCAATGGATTGATTATCCCTCTTCCTTATGGGTAAATTTTTTCTGCTTCTTATCACATTAGGTATGTTTTATTATATCTTCAACTTTATAAATCTTGCCTTCTTGGATGCTTGATTTTTTATATGCCTATAATATTCTTGAATTCTCTTCTGGGATTCAGTTAAGTTACCTGGAATTTGTTTGATCCTTTTGGTTCCTGCTTTTAAAATATATTAGATGGAGGCAAAATCCTTCTGCCTACTCTACCCAGTGCCCCAGAAATTATGAAACTTGCCAGTAGAGCTGGTGGAAAAGGCCCTACTCCTGGCCCAATGTAAGTTCCTGTATTCTTTCATTTACTTTTTATAGATGGTTCATTTCAAGGTCTAGGGTAGCTCTTCAAATGCATGCTCTGATTAGTGCTCTGCTGAATTGATCATGGGGACCCCCTAGAGGTATCCATAGTAGTGTCACTGTTAGATTTTCACCACTGAGGTACTACACCACCCAAACTCCTGCCTCCTTGGTCTCCACAGACTCTCAGCTGTCTCTCAACCATGTGGATCCATTAGGCTGCTCCTGGTTTCTCCAACACCCCTACCCCACCAGTCATGGCCTGGAAACGCTCTCAAAGCAACAAGCTGAGACAATTGTATAATTCACAGCTTCCCCCAACCTGAACTCTCAGGAGGCATTATCCTTTGTTGTCATATGTCCAGTATCCGGAAGACCTTTATTTCCTATAATTTTTACAATTCTTTTGGTTGGTTGTTGTGAGAGTTTTGGGTGAGAAATGGAAACACATTTTAGGCATGACACGGAGCCCCTAGGATGGACCATTTAAGCAAGAGAAGAGCTCTCTTCTCTAAACTTATCTGTCTAAGTTGAATTAACATACAGTGTCTGAAAGCATGCCATTCTTATCAGAGGTTCACTGAACACAGAAATTAGCAGCTTTCATGCTCCTATTCCATTTAAATTTTGTCTGACAACAGGATGCTGTAAATTTAGAAATCCTTCTCAGAATAGTTGTTGCTGCCTCTCAAAGAGCCACTAAAATATATTTTGAAAAACTGTTGACTATAGCCATATGCAGGTCATGGGAAATGGTGACTAATATATTACTTTATAAAATGTACCAATACATTTTGTTAATTGAATTGTAAATTAAATGGGTTTAGAAAAGTAATTTGTGTTATCAAAATCTATATCAATTTTCTTTCATTATTTTGTTTTCCAAATGAATAAATAAGTATTTTTCCCTTTGTTCATTTAAGCAATAGAAGAAAGTTCCACTCTATCATTGTCACAAAAGAATACTAATTTTTTCAACTCTTTATCTCCCCCTGCCTCACTCCATGGTTAGTTTTTCATAGAAATCTTCTTCTTTTGAATAACTGCTATTCTTTACAATGAAACAAAAATATTCAGTACCCTTATGGCAAGCATGTTTTTTGCAATAAATGCAATATGTTCTTAGTCTCTATCTCTATCTGTTTTTGTAATTTGACAAAAGTAGAATATGGTTCGGGCCACAAAATTTAAAATGTTATCATAAACTAAGTAGAAGTTTCTAGAGAAAAACAAATAAAAGTGTATCATTGTTTTCATTTATAGTGTAATTTTAATATTGTTTATATTTATACCTATGAAGAAAATAATTTTTTTCATAAATCATCTAGAAAAATATATTATTTTGGCTACATATTATATTTTTTTGACTTATGAGAATTATCAGTGAGGAAAAACTATTTAGGTAGCCCTCATGAAAGCAGCCTTTTAAAAAATTGTTTTAAACTAAATATTAGAAATTAAGAAAAATAGTTAATAAAAATTTATGTATTCTCACTTTTAGAGCGTGACTAAGATTATAGTTATTCCCATAGTGCATTGTTTCATAGAGGTGTTTTGCATATTTTATTTTAAAATTCCTTTCTTTATAGGTAGTTTGGGCCGATTCATATAAAGTTGGTTGTGCAATGGCAATTTGTCCTCAACTCCAGGGAGCTGCAACTGCAATATTTGTATGTGACTATGGACCTCTGTAAGTTGTTTTGCTTTTAAAAATATTTTATATTGAAATAAATGTTAAAAATTATTTCCAAAAATAAGAAGTTAGACTAAAAAGGCAGGTATATATTTAATAAATGAAGCCTCCCTCTATAATGATAATCAAAGAAACAGATGAAAATAGTAAGTGGTGAGATGATATAACCTTGTGTAAAGAATTATACCTACCATGAGATATTTAAAGTTCAGAGTTAAAATGATGGACATTCTTTGTTAAATAGAACAACAGGTAACATAGAATGCATTGCTATACTAAAAACTGAAACACAAAATAGGCTTGCAGATGCTTTCCTAATATACTATACCATAACTGAAATGAGCAAGTAATTCTGAATGATAGTGAAAAGCACATTCTTCTAAGAAAAAAATACCGTAAGTGTTATTGCCTTTTTTATTATTGTGCATCTAAGTGGAAATATAACATAAGCCTAATGGGAGGCTACAAAAATAAAATTCTGGAACTCTAATCCCATTGATCTGTACAAGAAAGAAGATAAAATCCATCCACAACCCAGTCATTTAACAAACAAAATATTAAAGTAAAATATACAAAAGATGAAAATCCAAGCACAGAATAAATATATAGGGTTGATAAAAAGAAGCTGAGATATGTCAAATTGCTACGGAGAATACAAATGTGTATATCTCCTCCTGTATTTATTTTACTCCTTCTCAGTTAGCAACAGAAATGAGTATGACACGTGCATAACTTAAAGAGAAGAAAAACACGACAGATGCAACAAAGAATAAATAAGAAGATGATAGCCTCAATCTTAACTATGTCAATAATCACATCAAATATAAATGCTACAAACACCCAAATGAAAAGGCAGAGATTGTGAGATTAGATAAAAAAAATCCAGAAACAATTATAAGCTACAAAAAAATAACTGGCTGTCACATACATAATTACACTGGGTTCATATCTAATTTATGTTTTATAGAATATTAAAGAATATAATGCCCTGGCTGGGTAGCTCAGTTGGTTAGAGAGTCGTCCTGGCCTGCCAAGGTTGTGGATTTGATACCCAATCAAGGCGCATCCAAGAATCAACCAACCAATGAATGAATATATAAGTGGAACAACAAATTAATCTCTATCTCTCTCTCCCTTCCCTTCTATTCTCTATCTCTATCAATAAAAATTTTATTTTATAGAATATAACTTTGACATATTGAGAACATGCTATAAAGAACAGTTTTAAAGTAGCTTTTTATAGTAGAAACTAGAGGCCCAGTGCACGAAATTTGTGCATGGGAAGGGGGGTCCCTCAGCTCAGCCTGCACCCTCTCACAATCTGGGACATCCCTCTCACAATCCAGGACTGCTAGCTCCTAACTGCTGGCCTGCCTGCCTGCCAGATCACCCCTAACCACTCGCCTGCCTGCCTCATCACCCCTAACCACTCACCTGCCTGCCTGACTGCACCTAACCACTCTGCCTGCCTGCCTGATTGCCCTAACCGCCTCTGCCTGCCTGCCTGATTGCCCCTAACCACCTCTGCCTCAGCCCCTGCTGCCATGGCTTCATCTGGAAGGACGTCCATAATGACATCGAGAAGGTCGTTTGGCTGTCCAGTCTAATTAGCATATTAATGCTTTTATTATTATAGATTAGCATAAAATTGGGACAAAAGTCATTTTCCTTTCAACATTCATGCTTAATGAGCAACCAAAAAAATAAGTAAATTAGAAGAGTAAATAGCCATTTGGCTACCCAATGTTTCCCTTTTTTACAGAGGAAATTATGCAGGGGCCCGCCCTTACACTGAAGGAGCATCCTGCTCTATGTGTGGAAAAGAAGACACTTGTGAAAACAGCCTCTGCAGTAAGCAAAATGAAAAAAGTAAATTGTAATTTCCTATTTGGAGAGAAAAGTTTCCATAAATTCATTTTATTTTCAAATTTAGCTCTCCTCAAGTGTATACAGAATTTATGAAGAAGATTTGATTGCTGCTCTCTGATGATATAACTCATTTGTCATAAATCATACTTAAACTCAGATAATCCCTCCCTTCTTCACTGATTATTTTCCCTCTGAGGCTAAAGGACAGGTGGGAGTGAGGTATAACTGTGATCCAGTGTGCTGCTATATAGTAGATATTTGCTGCTATAACAAAGAACTACTAGTTGAAATATTTATTTGCATTTGCCTCCATTCTCCTTTTATTAGTTATTATTAAAATAGTGACTCAGGAGTAACACATTAATTAATGTGCAAACTAATTATGATTTAAAACTAATGTTTCACTTCCAGAAGTTCATTGGTCCTCAGAACAAAGATTTTTTTAGGTTAAGTGAATAAATTATTTGATTGAAGATAGAATGAAATAGGTGAAGGGGGTAGATGATTTGGAAATGGTTAAAAAAAAAGAAAAGAAAAAGAAAGAAAGAAAAAGTTGCCCGGCCAGCATGGCTCAGTGGTAGAGCATCAACTTATGAACCAAGATGTCATGGTTCAATTCCCTGTCAGGGCTCATACACAGGTTGCATGCTCCATCTCCAGTGGGGGGCAAGCAGAAGGCAACTGATGAATGATTCTCTCATCATTAACGTTTCCATCTCTCTCCCTCTCCCTTCCTCTCTGAAATCAATTTAAAAAAATTTTTTTAAAGAGAAAAGAAAAAGTTGTGCCCTAGATGGTTTGGCTCAGTGGACTGAAGGGTCTCAGGTTAGATTCCTATCAAGGACACATGCTGGAGTTGCGGGCTCAATCCCCAGTGGGGGCATGCAGAAGGCAGCCAATCAATGATTCTCTCTCATCACTGATGTTTCTATCTCTCTCTCTCCCTCTCCCTTTCTCTCTGAAATCAATATATATTTTAAGTTGCAATGATACAAAATAAGAGACATACAAAAAAGAAAGCATATTAAATGATTTCATTTACATAAAGTTTAAAATCAGGCAAAACTAATCCATACTTGGAGTCCGGAATGCATTACCTTTGGAAAGAGGACTTAGTAATTCCACAAAGATTCCTAAAGGTTATCTAGGTATGTTAACTTTGTGAAGAATCACCAAACTTTCCATGAAATATGTATGTGGGAAATAATAATAAATTGTTACTGCTGCATTTGGAAATCTATTACACAAGAATACATTGCAGAGACACTTGGTATGATTAATAAGCTTTTAATTAAACACCTATCATATGTTTTTTAAAAAAACTGCAGAAAGTTGTACCTTTGCCTCTGCTGAACAGGTGGACATGGGGATGTTTCACTGAATCCAAACACAATTTAGTGAAAGCTGGGCCAGAATATAGGTAAAGCTTGGTCAACCTCTGTTGAACCCTGTTCCAAGGGTGTAGATTTCTAGGGCTTTTCACTGAGATACTGAGGTGTTCACTGCTGCCTTTCCCTGGTGGTTATTAAACTCCAATATTTAATTGCTTTAGCACACTGCAATTACTAAAATATCTGCTTTTATTTTAGGGCTTTCAGCCTAAAGATTTGGCCTCCTGCCCTCCCAGCTTCAAAATTAAAATAGCTTGAGTACAACATGGATATCCATTGGGCTAATGTCCTCCACTTCTACCATTCCCCTGAACCCTGACCTACTCAATGCTCCATTTTTCTCTCTCTAGCCTCACAAGACCCACAAAAGCTCAGCTGGTTTCTCCTTTCCCCATATATCAGCCTTGGCCAGAGGAAAGCCCATATATTTAGCCCTTGACCTGGACCAATCAGAAAATGGCCCAGAGAAAAAGCAACATTCATAACATCAGCCCACCTCTTGATGGATCTCCTGCTCTGAAATCTTCACCCTCTAGTCCAGTGATGGCGAACCTATGACACGCGTGTCAGAGGTGACATGCGAACTCATTTTTTTGGTTGATTTTTCCTTGTTAAATGGCATTTAAATATATAAAATAAATATCAAAAATATAAGTCTTTGTTTTACTATGGTTGCAAATATCAAAAATTTCTATATGTGACACGGCACCAGAGTTAAGTTAGGGTTTTTCAAAATGCTGACATGCCGAGCTCAAAAGGTTCGCCATCACTGCTCTAGTCTTTGTTCCTTTGAATCTCTGATGCTCTTAAGCACTGTTTTGTTGTATTTTATTTGGATTTTCTAGCTGTGATTGATGACAGCTTTTGTCTGTTCCAAAGGACTACATTGCTGAGACTTAAGCGGGTATTGACAATGGTCTCCAGTACAGCACTGCACAAACTGCAAAGGCTCAATAAACTTTGAGACCAGCTAGGAGGTGTTCTCCTACTTGTTCCTTTTCCAACTATTTGGAAGTTATCTTGTTATTCTTGGCCTTTTACTCTTGAAAATTAATGTTATGATAAGCTCATCGATTCCGTAGAAGACCTTGAAATGTGGTTGGCATTACATTGAGTTTATAGGTAAATTTAAGAAGGATTAACGTCTTTATAGCATTGACTATATTAATAAAGATTATTTGTGTCTTTAAACATCTTTCAGTTAAGTTTTAAACTTTTCTCAGTAAAGGCCTTGCACATCAAGTTAAATTCCTTAGTAACATGTATTTGTTGCTTTAAAATGGCATATTAAAATTATATTTTCTAATTGATTTTTGCTAATTAATAGAAATATAAATTACTTTTATTTTAGTCTACTATCCAGGAATCTTACATAATTCTCTTATTAATAGTTTGTTAATGCTCTTGTATATTTTTAATGTTCTCTATAGAAAATAGTCTGTCATCTAACTTTTACATCAGTTATTTATTTTACTAATATTAATAGTCAGTGAATCTTCCTGTGCAATGTTGGACATAAGTTACAATAGTGGAGACTATTCTTTTGTCCAGGACTTTAAGGACAATATTTCAACATTATGTATTTTTGCTTTAGTTTGTTTTTATTAGTCCTAATAGCCTGGTTATGGTAGTTTTCTCTTTCCTTAGTTTGCCATGGCCTTTTATCTTGAATGAATGTTTAATTTTACCAGATATTTTCTGATCTCTTGAAATTAGCCCCATTTTTTTTCTTTAATGTTGT